AAAACGTTTCGCGTGCCTTTTCCCGGAAATTAAAGCATTTCTCCTTGAGAAGGGAGTTCACTATCCAGAACTAACAGATGATCAGTGGATCCAAAACTTTTATTTCATGGTAGACGTTACGTCTCATCTAAATCAGCTTAATCGTAAACTACAAGGGAAAGGAAACTTAATTTTTTCGATGTTAGAAGAAGTAATAACATTCGAAAACAAATTATCCATTTTTGCTTAGGATTTTGAAAGGGAAACATTGTTTCATTTTCCGAGCCTGCTGAAGCATCTCCAAGAAAATAATTCCTCTATTGATAAACACCATTTTAAAACAATAATTTTAAATATGAGGGAAGCATTTCTCAGCAGGTTTACACCAGAGCAACTTTAAAAACACCAGAGCAACTTTAGCATTTGTCAAAAATCCTTTTAATGTTACGATAACCAAGTTGAAATGTTCTTCTTTTGAAATTGACATTGGTAGCTTTGAAATACAATTGCTGGATTTAAAAAACAAGAAGATATGGCGCTCTAAATTGAATTTGGATTGGAAATATTGGAGAAGAAAAAAATTTGATCTTAGTTCACAACACAAGTGGTCTGCTTTGGAAGGAGGAAGACCTGGAGAAGGAAGACATGATCATTTTCAACGCTTGGAATAGTATTCCTGACTCTTACAATCAGCTGAAAAAGCTCGCATTTGCTGTTCTTTCCCTTTTCGGTTCTACATATATATACAAACAATTTTTTTCAAGCATGAACATTATCAAGAGTAAACTGAGAAGTTGTCTTATTGATGAGAACTTGGAATCATGCCTAAAATTGAAAACAAAAACATACAAACCTGACTTACTCAAACTTTCCAAGGAGATCCAAGCACATTGTTCGCATTAATAAATATTTATTAAGTATGAAATTTAGTTTTATTTAGTGTACTACTTATTTAGTGTAATAAAAGTTTACTAAACAAGCAGATTTGGCTCCCAATTTTTTTAAAATTGTTATAATGTTCATATTTGGCTCTTTGTCTAATAAGTTTGCCGACCACTGCACTAGTGTATAAGACAAGTTTACTTGACTCTGATTCTATTTGGAGGTACCTTTTGATAGATGAAGGTTTACATTGTCGGTAGCGCAACCCCACAATACTTTACAACTTTGTGTTTTATTTATCCCCATCACACGCCATAAATGTATCAAATGTCAATTTTTCATCAGGTGGTGCAGTATGTAATCTCATTTTGTAGCATATACTCTTCACTATATTGACATCATATTTTATAACTATAGTTACAGTCAACTTTTTAGAGTACTGCTAAGCCTAATTAAATTAAAGAAAAACACATTTAACTGAATGGAATTTTTTTTTTAATCGATTGGTTTCAAAAATGGCTGGCTTTCTCAGTTATTTTCTAATATTTAGTCATAGCCTAAATTGTAGGTAATAAAATTTAAGGTAACAAGTTTGTAATTCTACAACAAGAAACCATAAATTTTTCTTAATTTAAAGCATTAATTTATCACATTTCTTTTAGAAAATGTGTATAAATACAAGTTTTTTATGCTTTAATAGTGAGAGACAACAGCTATAACAGTTCACTATGAATATATACAAAATTAAAACCATAATTTTCATGAGCAAAACAAAGATTTGTAAAAATAAAAAAGTAAGATGCAAAAAAACACTTTAGGCTCACCATATATCAAAATCCAAATTGGAGCACATGAAAGATCAGTAATTATTTTTTTTTTAATATAGGTAATGAATATACACAGCATAGCTCAAAACTATCTTTTTCACTTTTGAAGAGCTACCAGATCTCCAACCAGCAGTGTGAACAACATCTAACTCACTGTGCTACCAGAGGTATTTATTTCATACAGACAGCAAAGTTGAAAAGATAGTTTTGAGAAAATCTGAACATTTTTAAATATACTTATCTCGAGCAACATAAATAGGGTTTGTACTCAAGGAGTTGCATAGTAAGAATTAAGTCAATAATACAAACCCTATTTTATATGTTTGCTATTTAATCTTTTTTTTTTGTTGACATTTTCTTAAAAAAAGTTAAAGCACAGATTCAGCTTTGCAATTAAGTCAAAATCTTTTGTCATCAGGTTTTTTGATAGACAACTTGAAGAAAATGTCAAAATCAGCAGACACAACCAAATTAACATAGAGAATATTTTTTAATATATAATAAAAACTTTAAAATATATAATTTATGTCTTAATATTATTTTTATTAGATTAGTATTAACACATAATACTTACTTAACTGCAAAAAAAATTATTGCTAAAAACTAAGAGCAACATTCTAATGATACCAAAAATTATTTAAAAATTTAAAAGATATCTTAATCTATATTATAATCTAATTTAAAAGATCCATGCATAATGTAGCTTTTGAATTAAAAATAAAATAATACCAAAATATGATTAAAAATTTTGTCTAACAAAGATTAAAATATCGGTAATAAAAATGACATTTAATNATGAATTTATCCTTAAGATTTTTAATTTTTCTAGATAAATCATAATCAATAAAAGTACCTTTAGGAAATGAACTAAAACTGGTATTAAATAAATTAAATCTAACCCTTTCAATAATTTTAGCCTTCCACTCAGAAAAACCTTCAACAGGCCAATGATATTTTCTGGAATTTATGAATTCTGGAATTATGAAAAATTTTAAAGAATTTCTTAAATTTTTTTAATTATCAGTTATCGAAAACTACTTACATTAGGTTAAGTTGTAAGTAACTTTCTGTTGGATTAGAAAAGAACTTTTTAAACTCCAAATACCTAAATCAATAAACCACCTAAACATTCATGCACCATATTTTTCATGTATGTCAAATAGTAGTGAAGCAAAATTTTTATTTAGGGTAGTAACTTCAAAGGTGAAATTTCTTTTTAATGAAATTCAATATAAACTCTATATCTTTCTATTAATAATCTTAAAGCATACATAATTTCAGACTCAACTTAATAGATTGTGGATATTGAAAGTTATTTCTGATTCAACCTAATTGACTATGCTTGTAAGAAGTTACTCAAACTAATATAAATAATATTTAATAGCTTTTGAATAGTTAAGATGTAACTTGCTTTAAAATACACTATCTGGCTAAAAGTATGCGGACACCCGGTTGTTGTGGTGGTGGAAGCATAATGATGTGAGGGGAAATTCTCCTGGTTTGGCCTTAATCCGTTAGTTCCTGTGGTTGGAAACATGAACTCTGAGATGTGTATGTGAAACAATGCTGCACACCCAACTCTTTGGGAATGTTTCAAGGAAGGCGCATTTATCTTCCACAGGGTGCATGGCCAAATTATTCAACTAAAAATAAGCACCTTTTAGGCACTTTTCAAGCACTGAAAAAATATTTTTAAGCACTTTAAAAAAATATCAAAATTAGTTAGCGCTTGAAAGTTTTTGACAATTGAAGGTTTTATCTTGTTTTATCACGTCAAAAAAAAAACTTTATGCAATGTTTTTGACAATTGTCGAAAATCATGAAATTTTGAATCATGCAAAATGGACGTTTTCATACAGACAATACGCCAAAATAGATTTGGGGTTGAATTAATTGTGAAAACGTTGAATAGTACAATGTGAACTGTGTCTTTTTGCATAATTCAAAGAGAAAATTAACATAGTAAAAGAAAAATCTCATTTTGATAAAGGGAAAAATTAAGCACTTTTTAAAAACACCTAATGAAAAAAGCACCTTTAAGGGCTTTTAAAAAAAGAAAATCGAAAATAAGCACCTTTAAGCACTTTTTAAAAACGCTATGCACCCTGTTCCAGCAGGATAACCGCTCCATTCACACACCGAGGCTTGCACAGGCGAGGTTCGATGATATGGGTGTTCAAAAACTGGACTGACCTTCTCAGATCTAAATTCCATAAAACACCTTTGGGACGAATCAGAGTGCTAGAATAGCCAGCCAAATCGACCCTCCTCACTGCAATCCCTCTCTTCAGCTGTGATGGAAGTCAATTCCTATTCAAAAACTGGTGGAAAAGTCTTCCTAAGACGTATGCAGGCTGTCATCAATGCAAAAGGGGGACCAACATCACATTAATATGTGCTAAGTCCATACCACTGTGTGTCCGGATACTTTTGGCAGGATAGTGTATATTAAATTCTCACATAAATGTAATCAGCATTATGATCCTTATTAAATTATAATTGAAAAAGGATATATATATATATAACAGTTATTTCAGGATATCGTAAAACCTAAAGAATATGAGAAATTTCTAAACAATTTGAAAGATGTATAAGTTTGCTTTACCATTGTCGAAATAAAACTTATGGAAATCCATGCCTTCAATCAAGTTGCCGAGAGCTTCAGGCTCAAAAGCAGTCATGTGCGGATCACAGTATTTACTATAATTAAAAAATAAGCACCTTTTAAATACTCAAAAAATATTTTTAATCACTTTCGAAACAAAGTTATTATTAGGCAGTAATAATTTTTTTTGTTCTATTGTTTTAAGTTCTTAATTTATAAACAAAATCAATAAAATTCAAAAACATTTTCAAAAATTTTACATAATCATTATAAAATAAATTCTGATAAATATACTGATTAATATATTATTTTAAACTAAGTAAACCTTATTNGCCGGATAGACAAGAGTACATTCTATATATGTATAGTAGACAATAATAAAAACTACTCACGTGTAAATTTCATAATCTCCTGTGTTTATAGCATCTATCAGTTGTTCTGTAATTTTAACAATTTCTTGTTTCCTAGCTAAGGGTCATGAAACAAATAACAGCATTAGTTTCCCTTTTTCAAATGTAAATAGTATATTTAATAGATTTATTATAAGCAATAAAAAGCCACAATTTTTTCTTGATACTTTGTTTTGATTGTTTGTTGCTCACTATACTATTCTGATTGCAAAAAAATTAAGATTTTCATAATAAAGAGATTAGTAATTCTATTTTTTTTACTAACTATAAGAGTGAAAAATTAAAATTACATATTACTTTTATCTATTACTATGTTAGACTAAACATAATTACACTACTGGTACAGTTAGTCTAAAGTAAGAACTCCCCCAGCCATTCGCCTGGTGGTGACTATGGTAGCGAGGTATAATTATTTCAAGTAGGGGTGTGGAAGTCATTGTTTAAGACAGGTTTTGGTTCGGGTCTGCGAGAGAAAGGGAATCTTAGCTACCCTCGCTGAAATACACTATTCTTGTTTCCATTGGAGCAGACGGCTTTAGATTTTGTGGTGTGGGGAGTTCATACCATAGACAAACTATATCTGTCTGACTATAATGTTCCAGTTGTAGAAAAATTAGGATTTTTTAATCTGCAGATTGACACGGGAAATTCTGCTATCATCAAAAACCTTTAAAGAATTTAATTTGTTGGGTGCACACACAAGTTTCTCACCTGTAGTGGCAATGGTTAAGGAGGCAGGAAGACTAGGTAGAGAGGCCCTTTTTTGAAAAGCTTGTAAAATCTTAGTGCTGTCAGGAATTGAAGTTTTAGCTTAGAGAGAAATAATGACTTAAGAGAAAGAGAAAACAAAAAGCAGAAAAGAAAAAAAAACATAAAATAAAGCATATAAGAGAACAGAAGCAGTACATATGAAAAAAAAATTATGAAATAAACAATAAAAAAATTTAAAACCCTGTAATAACTATAAAATAAAGCATGGAACAAAAGTATAATAGAGAAATAATAAAACTGAAGCATTATATAAGAAAAACAAATTAATAAATAATAAAAAACTGTTTGTGATATAAAATGAATCATTTTTTGAAACTGATTGGCGAATACATTAAAAAATAACAATCTTTTATTTGTTTAATTCAACCAAATTACTAAGGCATAAGGTTTGTTGCGGTTATAGAGAAATTTTTTTTTTTTTTAAACAAGAAAATAAAATTAGCTTTGATAGAGATAACAAATACCTGTATAAAACATTCATTAACAGTAATTGATAAAAATGTCTCAACAATTTTAGGTCATTTTCATATCACGTGTTTATCATCGTTTGAAGCAAACTTTACTAATTTCTATATCAGCCAATTATAATTTTATATTGATTGTATAAAAATACAATCTTCTACAATCTAAATTAGCTTTTTATGAAATATATTAACAGAAATAAATTGTTAACTTCTTAGGAAAACAGGTTATTGATGGATGTCGCACAATATTGCAATCAGGATATCACAAATACCTTTGATATCATTTGGCGTTCAGAATGTTGATCAATATTAATCAGTATTTACCAATATCCCTGTACTACTTGGGTATATAAATGCAAACTCATCAAAATAATCATTTAATTTATGGAACTCTTTTACTCTGAGTATTTTCAACTTTTCTTCTGATGGCTTGTTCTTTTTAAAACATGTTTTTCTTTTATTCTAATTCTGTATAATCATTGAGAAGAGCATATAGTAATATTATTGTATAATATTAATTAATATAGATTCAATATATCATGTTTTTAACTGCCCTGCAGGCCTTCACCTCTTAAACTATCCCACAGAAGAGGATTTGTATTCATTTAACGCCATAGAAATAACAAAAACTATTCAAGCACACCATGAAGTATGATTAAATAGAGGATACGACACCAACCAATATAGATTCAATGATTATTTACAATATTTTTCCCATACAGAGAAAAGATATTCAGCTAGTATTAAATAAAAGAAATATATTTTTGGTATTCATAAGTTCATAAGGGAATTTTCACAACAAATTTGGTATCATATAAACATACCATTCAACTTAATGTAATAATTCAACTTAAATATAATTACAATTTGAAAAAGTAACAACACTAAATTCAAAATTATAATTACATATAAGTAAACAAAACTAACCTTTAACATCTTCATCTTCAAGAGTCGTGCTGCTGTCAGTGGATTCTTTAACTTGAGAGCCTTCACCTTTTTTGGCCATGATACTTCGACCTACATATTTCATTTAATTAAGGATACTCAGAAACACAAATTATGCTTTTATGCTCTCAACTTAAGATTACTGAAAACAAGTTAATACTATAAAAGTTACAGATTTTAAGAAATTATAATCTGCTTCAAAATTCCTTTTTCATTAATATATTTTTAGAAATGTTATATATATAGCAGTAATTTTTAAATATTCAAATACATAAATAGGAGCAGCTAGTAAGGATCATTTTTTTTTTTAATTTTAAGAACACTCTTGTAGTTTTTTTTAAATAATGAAATTATAAATATATTATTTGATTTATATACATTTACAATACAAATTTCATAATTTACAGGTATAAACATACACAATATAGTTAAGTACACATACGGCTCCCGACCATTCTGTCTATGGTGATGAGGGGTAGGATATAATTAAAATAATTTCTTTTAGATATAATTAAATACACATTAAACATTTCAAATAAACAATTAATGTAATATTATTAATTAAAAATTTTTTTACTGTTTATTAAACTACATAACACTAAAGTCCCCAGCTCAGGGTTGCCACAGAAACAAAATTGTTGCTGAAAATTATGAAAATAGTTGTCTAAATATGAACAAAAAATTTTCAATAATATGACTAAAAATTTATTAAATCACTTAACTGTCGAATACCATGATCCATTTAGTCAAATATGATGATTTTTATATAACCGTTAATATTCTAGTACTAAATTTTTATGACAAAAAAAATTTATATTTGCAGAAAATTAAATACTTTAAATTATTAGAATTAATTCAAAAAAATACTTTTTCATTTAAAAAGAAACAACCTTTTTTTTAAAAATTTATCCCTTTAATCAATAATTGATTTAGCAACATATATATTGTGAAAAGTGATTACTCAAATTCACACATCATAATATCTTATTAAAATTTTTTTTAATTTTAAAATTATGCATAATTTCGTAGCAATAACCGTTGAAAAGGTGACCAAGAAACAAAATAGACTTGCAATGGAATCTGTGCAAATTGGGCACATTAAAAAGTGGTGACTCAAGTTTGCAATTCAATTTTAATTTTTTAAAGAATGTCCTTTTAGGCAAAAAAAAAAAAAGGTTGCTGTAGTCGCCTCAGGCCAAAAAATAATAGTAAATAGTCACATTTTAATCGCCTGTGGTAACCCTACCAACTATACTTTTTAAACTACTAACTCTGAAGCAATAGTTTTTGATGTTATTCCAGAGTCATAGTTTAGTTGATTTGTAGCATGTTGTTTCTTGTTCATAGTCACTACAAACTTTTCTTTTTGTCCATTTGGCTAATAGAGGTTTTGCATAGCATGTGTCTTACGTTAACTGCAACACTAACCTTATTTTCTCCAGAGTTTTGCAATTTGCAGGAAACGTTTATGCATACCCTATAAAACTAAAATAACATTAGTGAGAAATAACAGTAAAATTATGCAAAACCTCCCTGACATTGTTTCAAAGATTTCTCATTTTTATATCTTTCACCACCCACAGAATGTTGGAACTGCTTTTGAACTAGAAAGCTGATCAAGAATTGCTTGAACAGTCCTTCCTTTTCAATAAGGTCTGAATTGTCAGGAGCCGGATAGACAAGAGTACATTCAAAAAGGGAATTTTTTTTTCATGCAGCTAACTGAAGGAAAATACTACAATGCAACAATAACAAGAACACACACTTTTTCATGCAATCAATGCATAGAAATGGAAGTTCATTCAAAACACATATTTTACCCATAATTTATGCATCTAAAGGATTGCAGTTTTTTTTAAATTCATAACTACCGTTGATTACCTTACTAATTATTCATAATGCTAAACAAAATCAATTGAAGTCATTGATATTGATAATAAATTAATGATTAATTTTTGAAACTATTGAATTGAGTCATTAGTAATTTCCACAATTAATTTCCTGATTTCTTACAATTCACCTCAAAACTCATTTTCTACACATTAGTCGATAGGGAAGTTTTAGTTAAATTTTACCAAGGGATTCAATATTTGGAGGATAAAAGAATATTAAATGAAATGTTCCTATAAATTATGTTGAGTTAATAAAATGATTTTGAAAAATTTGACAAGAAGGGTACCAGCTCAGGTGATGTTTATAATCAGAGTGAGTGGAGGGAGAAGGAATAATACCGCTTTCTCACCATGATCATAAAGCCCTGATAAATAGAGTTGGCAAGGGGCAACGAGGTTAATAGAATGATTAAATTTATTTATAAAAAAAAAACTTAATTTAACTTATTATTGATTTTTATTTATTTTGTTTTAACACTAGATAACTGAACATTCATCATATAAAGTTTATATTATAAACGCCTGAATTTTGTCTGATCAAATTATAAACACTATACACATCAGATTGTAAACATTGAACGGAATTGCTGATCAACATTTTAATACAAATTCAAGACTTTCCTTTATGTTATCTTAGTTTGCTCGACATAAATAAAGGAAATATCAATACAAAAACATTTTGAATTTGTTAGATTATTTTATTTTAGATTTTATTTTATGATTTTATTTTAGATTAAAAAAAATTATTTTTTTGTATAAACGAATTAACAAATTTTTAATGAAGTATATACTTTGAGTTCATTTAAGTACAGTTTGAGTACATTAAGTAGTTGTACAGTTAGAAAAGTTGTCATTAAACTTTAAGAAATTTATTTATGACTTAATCAAATAATTAAATATTTAAAAGCAAATTACATAAAGCTATTTTAAATTCACTATGGTGATTGAAAACAAATAAGACAAGCATATCAATAATTATAAAATTAATGATAATAAAAAAATTGAATCACTTGAAAGACTAGTTTCTACAATAAATTTTGATTATACAATTTCAACACATTGCATACAGTGAATAACACTTAACATGGAAAGCAGGCAATGCTTCAAGCAATGCTCGTCTGCATGCTCACATGCAACATTAACTAAATAGCTCATGCAATTTATAAATGACGAATAGAAAATTAACAGCAATGGGTGATTAAAATTAGAAAAATAGCTCTAATAACAGAAATGGTGCAGATCACTGAAGCACTAAGAACTGTACGGAGTATGCCAGATTTAAAAAAATAATTACTTTAAAGGGAATAATAAAAATATAACAATGTTTTAATTTCATTTCTCAAACAGGTGCATCACCAAGAAGTGTCACAACAAAACGAATAATCTTATATATTTCGGAATACCTCATTGTGAATCATTCAAACACTTCACAAGTGAAGAAAAACACATCTCAGGAAATAAATTACAATATAAAAAATATATAACTGTAAAAAAAAATTAGGCCTCCTACACTTTTTTTTTGGAATAAGTTTACAAGTAGCAAAAAATAAAACAAAAAATAGTATGAATATGCTCGAGCATCCCTTTATAAACATAATTTTCAAAAATTACGGCAAATGTTTTTCAAATAACAGTAATTTTCTAAAAAGTAAAATGAAATTTAACTTTCAGCATGAATTAGATTAAAAATAAATTATTTAATATGCATTTTTAAAATCTATAGAAAAAAATATTACATGTCATATTCAATGTAAAGTTAGAACAATTAACTTTTACGAATAATAATTTTCATATTTTAACCTGAGAAAAACAAATTTAAGGGGTGGTTCTATCGGAAACCTATCAAAGTGCCTATGAGGGCCAAAATAATTTTTAAATGGTAGCAACATACAAATATTTAGTACTTGGTGCATACAAAAAAATATTACATTATCAATATGAAGATTATATGTTGGAAATAAACGTTACTTGTAAATTTTATAACAAATCTTTACATTCTTCCGAACATCAAAACATTCTTTCGATTCATCAGCTATTTTTCTATGAAATTTCTTTTTAATTATATATGAAACCAAGTGAGTGTTAATAACCTGAAAATATTATCCTACGAAGACCTGGTGAAATATACTAATTACAGATACCTCATAAAAATATACTGTGCAAGAACTTCAGTAATTTAGTTTTGGTTTTCTTCAAAAAAATTCCCATTGAATAACAGAATTTAAACAAAAGCTCATTGAAATAGAATTAAAAAGAATTCTTACTTACAATTAAAGACATTGAAAACCTTTTTTTAACTTCTCCCTGCATGTCTCACAAAATAAAGTGACTGCAAATTTAGTTTTATGTGTTGTCTTTGTATATCTTTGAGTAAATTTAATATAAATAGCTTTTATGGTTAACATAATAGAACATGCGATCCCAGATAACCGAAATATTTCCAGTCAATTTGTTCCTTTTCTTGTAAATAAAAAGTAAACAATATAAAAAACAGCTTATATCCTATATTTTAATTAGTATTTATTTAAAATAACTTTATATGTACATATTAAACGTAAAACTGATTTTTCCATAAAAATCGACAATGAGGATCATTTGTAACTATGACCACTTTTTTTTAACCTAGCATTTAATTGTTTGTAGCAAAGGAAAGATCAAAATCAATTTACCTTGATTTGGAGCAGTTACATGGCCTGCAGGTAAAGCATGAAATTGTTAGAATGGATAAAAATAGGGAAAAAAATGAACATGCTTTTAGAAAAAAATCATGCGCAGATGAAAAGTAAATAAAAGAATATTACATTATGATAAAAATCACATCAATTGAAAAAATATACTAAGCTAAATAAAAAAAGTACAAAGAATTCAAAAATATAACACCCAAGCTGGAAAACAACTTGGAAATATGAGATAAGTCTATGTAAATGTATATCTAAGAAAAGCATAAGAGCAAGTGAGGAAATTTCTATAAATAAACAGGGCATTCGTTCTACATTATTTTTTTTTCTTCCTCAGCCTGCATATTGAATGTTATGTTATAACATCTATTTATACAAATAAAGCAAGGTGCAAATGATGACGTATAAACGAGCCTGCGATCTAAAGCCTATATAAAGAAAGATAATTTGGAGCTATTTACCTCGTGATATGACTGTTTAACCAATGTGCCAATGTAAGAATGTTTGAAATGACAAGGAAATGAGTTCATTTTAGAAAAAAATGTAGAAATTCTCAACAGTAAAGGGGTCATCCATAAAATATGTTCACTCAGGGAAGGGGAATACAAAATGCAAGATATGCAAAAGGACATTTTAAGATCATGAAGGTTCATAGTTATATATGTTGCCACTAAAGTGTAGAAATAATTTATTGTAAAGATTGTTGAGCTAATTTGCAGATTAACAAGGTACATACAAGAGATTGTTCCATTCTTTAAATTATCAAGGTAACTGGAGCATTCCTTAGACCAGGGATGGGCAAACTACAGCCTGCGGGTCAACTGTGGCCTGCCGGAACGTTTTATCCGGCCCGCGGATAGAATTCTAACTTGCCGATCTGTGGCGAATATAAGCAAGATACATTATACATCCATTATTTTGTCTACTTTGTTTGAAGCTATTTTTTTCCTTTCCTTTTTAACAAAGTACTGATAACCTTTTTACTTTCTCTATTGGTGAAATTGATTGAAATAGTTAGCACAGACAGCTTCAATTGGTAAAACTTTGAACGCAAAAGTTCTTTATAGAATAGCCGCAGATTAGCTCCAACTAGTGTTTGTCTTTCTCGAGGATCAGACATATGAAATCTAACATAGGTGAATTGTGCTTCACATGTGGCAGACAGAGCATTTTAAGCTCCAACAAGCAGATTTTTCTGCTGATGCAAGTTTTAACATTATTTATTGAGTATGGAAAGATTGCACACTATTGTTTCATCTAAACATGCCAAAGTTTGAGTTTTGCAAATCATTACCAAAACCTAGTTTCCTAAATTTAATATCTCAAGCCCAGAAAAACAGTGCTTAATCTTATATATGTGATCAAGTGTTTTCAACTATGTACCTTAGAAAAAATCATTTCAGAAGTAGACTAACAGACAAGTATTTAACCTCGTTCCTTAAAATAAGCTCATCTCACTTTGAACCTCAATATAAAGAACTTTCAAAAATGAAATCGCATTGAGCATTTTTTCAAATACTCAAAGAAAAAAACACCTTAAAGGGCTTAAAAAAAAAACACCTTTAAGCACTGTTTAAAAAAGCTAGGCACCCTGTGCGGATTACCCAAAAGCACTTATTAAAGCGAAAATCAGACAGTTGCTCAAACAACAGCAATAGTAAGCTTGAATTAACATAATGTTATTTATTAATTTTTCACTATCTAAAAATTTAAATAGACAATCAACACACTAGTTGAAAGAATCAATCACTTTGAAAACCCTAATACAATGCATCATACGGTTTAAAATATTATTACGTTAAAGCAGGAGTGATTGTGAGCCCAAGTCAAAATTCCGGAAAATGTCTTGATTTAAAAAAAAAAAAGAAAACAGTTTAAATTGAAAAATTAGAAAAAAGTTTAAACAAGGTTTTTCTTCCTTTTTCTCAATGTTTTTTAGTTTACTTAAAATATATTTAAAATTTTACACATACCTATGATGACCTGGAGAAGTAATTGAAATTTACAAATATGTCTTTCTTGAGTTTATGATTATAACAACTATTTACGGATAAAAAATGAATAATAATCATGAATATAAGCTTATAAAGTATCTCTCTGACTCTCCCTTACAAACAAATAAAATAAACTGTGTCTTTAAGTTCCACCTTGGAAAATTTGATTTCCGTAATCTTCTGTGATCCATGATTTTTTGAAACGCCTGGAACTTTGATCTCCGGAAACTTCCGGATCACTGTTAGCGAAAATTCCGGAAATCCGGAGCACAATCAGCTCTGTTAAAGGAAATGAATCTAATGTCTTATTTAATTTTCAATATCTTAAGAATCAACAAATTAGTTAATAGAATGAGATAATTCAACTTTTAATACAGAAGCCATTAATGTGCAGGTCAAATAAATAAATAGTGGAAACCCTTGATTCCATACTTTAAAGGCTTACCCTTGTTATTCTGCAGATTAGCTAGGTGTATTTTAACAGATTTTGGGCTTTAGCAGTAATACATATTTTACCAATTATTGCCAACAATAAAAGAAAGGAAGAACTAATCTTCACTGAATAACTTTTAATTGGAAAATTTTGAGAGCACATTTGAAGCTGAGGTTTCTACTATAGCTTGATCTCAAACATTGTTTTGATCAATATAATAAAAGAGTTCTTATAAAATTTGAAATATTAACTTAAGGCATTATAATCAATACCCTAATGTGAATTTGGGGATGAATTTTCTGAAATTTTTTAGAACATATTTTATAGACAAACCCTAAAATCATGAGGAGAGACCCTGTCGAGTCATCAACTTCATACAAATCAAATTGCTAAATTAAGTTAAAACATGTATTTTATTCTTAAAATTTTGAATTTATTATTATTAAAACCTAAAAGATCTATTGATTAAAAAAAAGCTTTTTAAAAAAAAAAGATTTTATAAGTTATATAAAAAAAGACTTAAAACGCAAAAGACAAAATGGTATGGGATCATTCCGCACAAAATTTCACTTTCCTCCAAACTAAGGACCATAATGAATACTTATCCATTTCGGTAAGTTGTAAAAACCTAATACTGCAACATCTATTATGACAATTAATTATCACTAGCATCAATAATAGTTTGGTGATTTTATTATGCTCCAAGAAAGGAAAAAGTGCTAGAACGTTTAGTTTTAAATTGAATTATGGAATTTTAAAACAGGGTTGCCACTCAAATCTGGAAAAAAGATTCTCCGTGTTTTCCCTGTACACATATTACACACAATATATAAAGAACAAAAACACAATCATTGTGCTCTTGTATGAGCTGTATTAGGCTAACTATACTAGTTATAATTGCTGAAAAAACTTAGAGGTAAAAGGAACAGCTGAACATACTTAAAACAAATAATGATATAGTAACTAATGATATAGTAACTAGATTAATATAGCTGAAATATCCTCCTTAAATATCCCATAAATTGCACTTTGAGTGGTCACCACTTTTAAAAGAAAAAAATAAGAAACAAAATTCCCTGTTATTTTAGGTGATTTTTAAATTCTCTGTATTTTCCAGGTTTTTCCCTGTGGAGTGGCAACTCCGTAAAATTTCTTAAACTTTTTCTTTCCTTAACTTTCTTTTCAATCTAGAAAATTTTCCACATACTATTTTTTCTGTATTTCTTTTATTTTTTTTTTTTTAAATTTTAAATAAAAATAACTAAAGTGATTTCAGCATTGTATGTAAGCACTGATCATTCCCTTCCCAATTTGTCAGCGGTTATAAGCAAATCACAAACCCACTCTCTCAAAGCATTTAAATAATATTTGAACCACTCCTATAACAATTTTTTTTTTCAAATGGAAGAATGTTTTAAGTGCATATGGGTAGAAAAGCTGGCAACAACCCTAAAATGTCACTCTACTGTCTGTATATTAAGACGCGTAGAGTGTGAAAAATATAAGCCTATATTTTGAGTATCAAAAATGTAAATCCGTCAAAAGTAGAGTATGTTAAATCCCAAAAAGTACATTAATCTGCCTAATTTTGAAAAATATATAATTTCTGTATCTGTTAAGTAAAATATTTAAATGTCTTCAAACAATTAAAATTGAGTCCTAGTATGCGAGCGAAAATTTGATCGTTAGATCATAAGTTTCCAGAGTATTTGCTTTTCTATTTAGCAAATCGTACATTAAAATCTTATCATTTGATCAAAAATTATTCACATTATTTGGTTTTTATTTCGACAACTGTAAGTATCAGATGACACACAACTGGTAGTGAATGGTCACATCTTCAAGAAAGTTCTCCCCAATTTAAATATCTTTAACAAACAAAATTGAAGTGAATGGTGAAAATGATCACAGCTTGATACTGGCCAACAGATGTTAGTAAGGTTTAAGAAACTAACTAAAAACAAGGCTCATTAGCTATCGAACTAAAATCAGTATGTAAAAAAACACTAATCCAGTCAACTATGACAGCTAAAGTTGGACACAGTATGCATATCTAAAACAGACCATTAATTTTTGAAAGAAATATGCTACGTAAAATTTTCCTTGTAGTTTAAAAAAAAAACAAAAAAAAACATGCAAACTTTAGAACTAATTCATATAAGTTTACAGAAACGTCACTTAAAACTTTCTTCCACTCAGCTCTTTAACTTGAAAATATTCTTGGAACAAAAACTTAAGTTATAGTAATTATGCAACACACACAATTCAAAAAAATTTTTTACACTTCCTACCTATTACAAAAGAAAATGATAATTAAATGCAAATAATAAAATCTAAATTAAATACGTGAAAAAATAAAGTGCTATGGAGTTTTATATAGCTTAAAATAATTGCTATTTTTTCAAACATTTCTCTATCAAAATTAAATGACCTTAATGGTGAAATTTTATAAAATTAAAAATAGAAATAAATTTAAATATGCATTTTCATATTCAGCAATAATTAACTATTTTTTTTTCTTTAAAAAATTGCAAGAAAAATACTGTCACTGATTTTAAAAATTTTATGTTAATTGGAATTTAAGAGCTTACAGGTTTTACACCTAAAATAATTTTTTTCTTCTTAAAAATGAAAATTCGCTTTGTTTATGATGCTGAAGTAAAAATAATTGCTAGTTTTAAATTTAATTTTCTCTATCTAAAATTAAAAAAAAAAAATGGATTAATCGCATATAAAGGAATTTAAAAACATATGTATTTGAGTATAATATAAATACGAGTAAGTGATCTTTGCAGCCGTTTTCTAGAATTTTTACTTTGAAATTTTTTAGAAATCACATAAAATGATTAGTAATCTGCATACCAGCAAAACTAAAAATGTTACTAGTACATAATTATACAAACAAATATATATATTATACAAATATATATATATATATATATATATTGAAAAGAAAATAAGCATAAAAAGATTATAAAGTATTGTGCTTAGTTTCAAAAAATTTCATCATTACTTCTTTGACTCAAATAAGAACAAAAGAATATCCTGAAGATAAATAATCTCAAGTATTATAAAATGAAGAACATGACATATCTACAACTTTGAAATTCAATAAATACATTCCAAAGTTTTCTCTCAAAACAAACAAAAAAGAAAACTAATAGTCATAACTTCTTATCTTTGTACCTCACTCTTATCACACACAATTTAAGATTATTTACTGACAAGTGTACTTTGAAAATAAATACAAAAGATAAAGTTAACAAAATCATCATTCTTATGTGAAATAAAACTCAATTATTTGAATACATTCCTAACACTGACAATTTTCCATCAGTTTTACATAATTAAATAAAAAAAAGTACATGAATTAAATACCTTTGATCTTTCAAATGACAAAAAAAAAATATTGTATTAACTTTAACCTGAATCAAAAGCAAATTTATAAAGTGGAAGAAAACTAGTTTTAATTAAGTATATGTACTAATACAAGAAAACAATGAAAATATGCAGCATTTAACACATGTAAATTATTTTTATGGATATTAATGATAAGACATTATGATTAAACTACAATTAAACTTGTTAATTAGACCACCTTTAATTTATATGATAAAGAGCAAAATCCTGATTCATAAAAGGACCATTAAATTTCGTCCCACAAGCGTAAGTGTAGCGTTAGAGGCAGCACACTATTTGTTTCTAGAAAACTGTTTAAGTTTAATGTATATAAGCATATTTATTTTTAATATGCGTGTATACAAAATGTTATAAAAATGCAAAATGAAAGCAAGAAAAAATTATGTATAAAATGTATGTACAAAACTTAAAATAAACAGTTTTCTAAAAATAAAAATTGTGCCCAACCCTCTTCACTCTACGCCTATGCCCACTAGTGAAAAGCTTAGATATAGTTTGTCTAAAGTAAGAACTCCCCTAGCCATTCGTCTGAACCCATGGCGGTGACTATGGTAATGAGGTATAACTATTTCAAGTAGGGGTGTGGGGTCATTGGTTAGGACAGGTTTTGGCTCGGGTCGATGAGAGAAAGGAAATCTTTAAATTTTGTTGCCCCCCTAGAGTGAATAGAGGCATCCTCCCGGAAACGCAATATTCTTGTTTCAACAGTAGCAGACTGTCTCAAACTTTATCGCGGGGGGAGTGCATACCATAGACAAACTATAGAGTTCATTGTAATATTTTAATTCAATCTTTTTCAAAAGGGATGTTAGTCAGAAGAAAAAATGCTATCGACAAAACAAATCACTTCAACATGAATAGTACAACATAAAATTTTTACACTTTTGTAAATAAATAAAATAAAAAAATGATACATATAATTGAAATAATAATACTTACTAGAAAAGTTACGTGTGGCTAACATGGTCGTAAGTATTGCACCCTAAAAGGATTGAAACACATACAAATATTTTACACTTAAATTAGTCCCTAGAAAAACAATGTATTTAACGACACGAAAATTAACCCCTCAACTTAAAGGCCCAATATAACATGGGGCAAGAAAACTTAGCCTGATATAATTGTAAAGTTAAAGGGCTAACAATCAGAGTGAAAAAAAAAATATTTAGAAATAATTACTACAATTTGTGATTCTTGAAAGAAACAAAAAAGTGCATTAATATGTTAAAAATAAGAGTTTGGTAGCAGAACTGCTAAGAAGTAATTAAGCTGAAATAATTTACAATTTGGGAAAAATCTTCTAGAAAACAAACAAAAGTTATTTAACTATGGCAGTTTGTCTGTGTCAGTACACAAAACATTCATTTCAACAATATACAAAATACTTTTAAGAAATAAAATTGCCTAAAAGAATTATTAATAATAAAGTAAAAATAAATCAAACTTTTTCCCATTTATAAGAAATGAGTGTTGCCACTAAAAAATATGAAGTATGTTTTTTGAATAGATGTTAAATTAAATTTTTAAATAAAGTATCAACTTATATTCACTAAACATGGGTTTTGACTATCTACATTTTACATGAGTAGCTTTCAACAAAGATATCGCAATTAAAATATAACAGCAAAGAAAAAAATAGTAAAAGTAGTTGTTATGGCATAAAATTAGAACCAAAATGAAGAAGAAAAAAACCCAATAAATATTTAAAAACTATTATTAAGTCGTGCAAAATTTTCCATTTAATTCATTGCAGAACGAAATCCATATGATAACATCATTGATTCTGCTGTTATGGCATCTTTAAATGTTTCAAAAACTTTCACTGTGTTACGTTTTTTTTAAAAAAATATTCTTGAATAAATTATCTTTAAAAAAAACCACAAATTTATAAGAGAAATTATTAAGCCTAGTAAAATTTTCCATTCAATTCATTGCACAATGGATTCTACATGACAACGTCATTGATTCTGTTGTTATGAAATATTTAAATGTTTCAAAAACTTTAAAGTATTGTTTAAAAAAAACTTTTATATTTAAAGAAAATACAAAATATTAAGATAGTTTTTAAGAGAGGAAAATTGATACAGAGTCATTCATATCTACCTCATTGTTTATAATACATAAACATTTCAAGATAAAGTAATGTGTGCCTTTATTACTAGTGTATAAGTCAACTCTCTAATTTTGGAGTTTTGAAGACTTAACACGGGGATATATGGTAATTTATTTCTTTTGCATAGAGAATTTATGTTTTCAAATTTGAATAAAAAACTGTATGATTCACTTTTAATTTCTTACAATACAAAACAAAATTCACAGCAGGGAAGAATGTGAATTATAATTACCTTCAGTTTACGACGAGCATTGAATTTCTTGAGGCAGTCCACAGTTTCTTGACGATGAAGAGTAGATGCAACACGCTCTCGTTGCTAAAGAATATAAAAAAAAGGTTTAATTATAAACAATAAGGATATAATAATGATGAAAAGAAAATGTTTGTAAAAAGTGAAATTCAAAATACTCACACAAATCCATGGATGTTTGAGAGCTTCACTGGCAGTGATTCTTTTGCCTGGATTTACAGTTAACATACTATTGATTAAATTCTTAGCTTCAGGTGTCACTGTATCCCATTCAGGAGATGGATACTTAAATACAATATTAAAAAATTAAGGATAAATAACACTGTACAAAATTTAAAAATTGCTTCATAAAGATTTTTTTACAAAAATATCAATCATTTACAGCAAATGATGGAACATGAATAAAAAGCAGTTTGTTTTGAAATAAAAAAAATAAATTTTAAATAATTTATAAAGCAAAAAAATTTTTTTTTTACAAACAGGGTGCAAAGTCAAATCTTTCAACAAAAATAAGCACCTTTTAAGTATTTTTTAAGCACTCAAAAAATATTTTTAAACACTATACATATTAACAAAGTCGAAAATAATTTTCAAAGACTTAACATGATCATGATAAAATAACTAGTTTCTGACGAAGCACTTTACATCAATGTACATTATTACATTAACCATTATAAAATCAAGAGATTTTTTGATTCGATATCAGAGGGTAGAAATTGAGAATCTCTTGCAAAATTCAGCAGAGTTGCACATAAGAGTGAAATAATGTAACCAAACTCAGCTCAGTAGACGCACGAGCGGACTCGCAAATATCTCATCAAATACGTAAAATGATTGACACTTTCATATGCTATGGACCAAGAGTACACCTAAATAGATTGTGGTTGAATGAATTGTGAAAACGTTGAATAGAACAAAAAGAAAATCAGGCTTTCGCATAATACGTGGCAAAAATCGACATGGTAAAGAAAAAGATATAATTTTGGAAAAGGGAAAATTAAGCAATTTTTAAAATCACCCCAAAAAAGCACCTTTAAGGGCTTTTAAAAAACGTAAATAGAAAATAAGCATCTTTTAAAAACGCTACGCACCCTGATAAAGATATGTAAAAGTATTTGCATAATCAAATGAATGTATTTGTAAATATCTTTTATTATGGGTTGGAGATGAAATTACAATGTAATATCAAATGTCCATCAGTAGATTAAACTGAAGAAACACTTTTTCTGAATTTTTTGAAATAAATAATTACTGCAATAGGAAGTCCACTTAATTTACTCCCTTGCTAATAAAACGATAATATAATGAATATGTTCGGGTAATAAAGTGTCATCGGAGTTTTACTTAATTATGAACCATGTTTTTGGCAAAATAACAAAATTAATGAATTCCAGTATCTACTAACATCATTACTTGTTAATACTAACACCATAATTACAACAACACATTCATTATTTTATAATTTTACCAGCATATACAAGATTTGGACAAAATAATGGAAACACTTCCATACTTGCACATTTCTTCACATTTCTCAAGAAATATTTAGAGTAGTATTTTAAAATTTTGGAAGTATTTAGGTCACGCAATTTCTCATACATATCAATAAAGTTGTAAAGCTCTTAGAGGTTTAATTGACCAGCAATAAGTTAGCAACAAAAAATAAATGTTTTTGAACACCTTATACCAAAAAATTTAGCAACAAGCTTGTAGATAAAATTCTTTAGTAGTGAAAGAACTACTAAAATTTACATTTTGCTCACTCTTGAGATAGTAAGAACATTAATATTTTTTCATTCCTGCTTATGTTTAGGTAAAAGTGACAAAAACTTACATCATAAGCACCAGCTTTAATTTGGGCATACAGCCTATGTTGATCTTCATCCCAAAAGGGTGGATAACCAACAAGCAATATATATAGAATAACACCTGGAAAAGTAAAATTTTAAAAAAAAAAATAACATTCAACAATTATAAAATTATTTAATAACAATGAGTAAGATAGTCATTATAACGTCTCTCCTGATATGAGAGAGTCAAGACGTTGTAACTTGAAGATGTTAGATGGCTAGGGCATAAAAACAATAACCATAAATATTAAACCACAGCTAAAAAATAATGGACTAATTTTAACACAACACCAATTTACTTTAAGTAGAATTTGTTTAATAACAGAAAAATTGGTAATAATGTAAATTTTTTTCTATATTGATATATGTACAGGGTGATTCTAAAAAGATGGACAAAATTTTAGGAAGTGATAGTACACACCCAAGCAAAAATTTTTTATCAACGAATGCATGGTTGAAAATAAAAGGCAAGGTGCTGACGCATTTGGAAAGTTGTTTGATGCAAACATGAAAGCTCCATTCCGGTTGTGAGTTCGTTCGCTACGTTACTTGTCGCCAAGCTTTCGGCCGCTGCAGGGAAAGTTCGAGATACGCCTAGTGTGTTTCAGAATGTTTGCCTATCTTTTCCTCGCCGTTGTACTGCGTGCATAGCCGCTGTCGGCCACTGTTTTGAACACTTATTTTAATCACATGCCATTAAATTTGCTTTTATAACTTAACTTCATCGTTCTTTGTGTGTTTTTGCCTCATATAAGAACATAAAATTTGACGCCCTTCAGCGGTTTTGCGTTTTGTTTTCGACCATGCATTCTCTGATAAAAATTGTTTGCTTGGGTGTGTACTATTACTTCCTAAAATTCTGCCCATCTTTTTAGAATCACCCTGTATATACACACTAAAGTATAATTTTTTTAGTATAATATTACACCTGTTCAAAATGCATTAAAAATAATATGTGGGCAGCCATTTTCTATAAATAACATACATCAAGATTTTAGTAAAACTAGATGTTTTGACTCAAAAATAAACCATACAATGGGACTGACATTTCACAAAAAGAGTGAATAAAATTTCCCAACAAGAAAAGTGTGATTGATAAAATTATTGTATCCTTTGAAAGAAGTTACATAGCTCATGCATAGCCATAAATTACAACCATCTAGGACTAATGATAAGAATTCAGCAGTGCATGCACTTCGTTTGCATTCAAAAGGGATTCTACGAGGCCATGACCCCTCCTTCAGGGGACCTCAGCTTGCACCCTAATGGATAGGAGGTTTTCAGAGAATAAAGAGAGAGGGGTAAAGGTGAAAAATTATATACACATATACATATACATATATATATATATATATATACATACATATATATATATATACATATATATATATACATATATATATATATAGATACATATATATATATACATATATATATATATGTATATATA